CGAAACTATTCATCATCGGTCAAAACGGCATATCTTATCTTTTGATTCACTATCTACTGACATTTAATAATTGGAACAGATACAGGGTGATCAGAATTCTGAATCTTGAACCACCCTGTAAATGTTCCAATTAATAAATGTCAGTAGACAGTTAATCAAGAGTTAAGATGGAAACATAGAAGTCGTTTTAATAATGAATAGTTTTGAGACAAAAAAATCCTAAAGTTGAAAAATCTCGATTTTGAACTCCCTATATCTCTGTAATCATTCCCGTTAGACCCCAAATGTACGTGATGCATTGATGAAATCAGCTCTTCAGGAAGAATCTAAAAATACAATGAAATACAGGGTGTTCCATTCGAAAAAATCGAGTATAGTACTCTGTAGATCATTTGTTCCGAGTACCCTTAATTTTCTGATGCAAAAAAATTGTGAAAAATCATTTTAGATTATTTTTCAAATTTTTGAATCGGTTCAAAAATAAATGAGCTAGAGGGGGGGACATTTATGGTGAATCACCCGGTTCATTATAAATATGTGATCTGAAAGTGCCTATTAATATAAATGTTTAATGTTAATATGAATTATAAATTAATTAAAAAGTGATTGATTCAAGATTGTACTTATTTCTCATTATTGCACTAGTAGAATTAAGTAATTTCAACATTCCACAAGTGGCTAAAGTGGCAATTTATACGATTCAAAAGTTTGGATAAAACTCAAATTATAAGATGATTGTGAATTTTGGGGTTTGATTGCTCTGATATGTCAATATTGTAACGCATAGATAGTATTCAAAACACCCCGTGGGTATTTCTGGTCTTTGTACGATAACCACCACGAGAGAGTCTTCCCAGGGAGTATCGAATCTCCCTCGACCCCCATTTACACAATTTACACAAAACTGACCGCCCGTCGACATCAAAAGAAACCACACACCTGGAAAAAGACAACGGCTAACGAAGCGGTCTCGGGCGGAGACGTTTTCCCTGTTTTCCACCCCGAAATCCATCGGAAAATCGCCTTTCCGCCGTCAAAGTCGAACGTCCCTCTAGCAAACCGCGCGATATGTGGTAGAAAGACAATCAAATCGCCTGCCGGCGACCGGAGATTGTCTTTTGTTTGCTTGGTGGCCTCCTAGATTTAATAGCACACATGTCTATATCGTGTTTGTTTTATGCATCTGCCTCGGTTAGATGCGAACAAAGAGTTTTGTACGAATTGGCTTCGAGTTTTATCTTGTCTTCTGTTTGTGAGTTAATTAAAATCTAAAATCAGGTCGTCGAGATTCGGATTTTGTTTAATTGCTCGCCGGCCTCTGCTCTTGTTTGATTTGTGGCACTTACCACATGAAAGATGGGCAAACATTGGAGTGGGTTTGTAAATTCATTTTGGATGGAACAATTGCATAGGCGCTGTACTCTGTACTGGAGTACTGAAGTAGCAGTGGTGGAACTCCATATCTTGAGCCCCCCCCCTCAAGAAAATATCATTTAGGCTTTTATAAAAAACAAACTAACGACTGCTATGAAAAATATCAACACACTAATTGAAGGAATAATTATTAGTTCACATCGACAAATAAAAAAATATCGAATTCATTCAGGAAAAAACAATAAAAATCATATATATCTATAAAACATTCAGGGGTGTGTATAATTTGCGGACTGGGAAAAATGCTGCGGACTGGCTATTTCCAGCAAACAAATCGTTGATTTTTTGCATATCTGAATTCAGCTCACCGAACTATACGATAAAGAGTTTTCGAATTTTTTCCCCAGCCCCTCTGGGAAGCACTTTACTAGTGTGTTTTTTCATAAAATCTTTCGGACTGGGTATTTTCGCAAGTCAAATCAACTTAATTTCATCAAAAATCGATTTATCTCATGAAAATTCACGATTAGAAGTTTTTGAAATGTTTCTCTAGCCCTCCTGGGGAGCACTTGACTCGTGTGTTTTTTCATAAAATCTTGCCGACCGGGTATTTTTGCAGTGAAATCAACTCGATTATTCCAAAAATCGATTTATCTCATAAAAATACACGACGAAAGGTTTTCGAAATGTTTCCCTAGCCCCCCTGGGAAGCACTTCACTCGTACGTTTTTTCATAAAATCTTGGGGACTGGGTATTTTTAACAGTCAAAGCATCTCAATTTTCCAAAAAAATCGATTTATCCCATGAAAATACACGATTAGAAATTTTTGAAATTTTTCCTAGCCCCCCTGGGGGGTAGATAAATGAATGAAATAAATTAGTATCAGTATCGTGTATTTTCATGGGATAAATCGATTTTTGATAAAGTTGAGTTGATTTGACTTGCGAAAATACCCAGTCCACAAGATTTTATGAAAAAACACACGAGTAAAGTGCTCCCCGGGAGGCATAGAGGAAAATTTTAAAAACTATTCATCGTGTATGCTCATGGGATAAATGGATTTTTGAGAATATTGAGATGATTTGCCTCACAAAAATACCCAGTCCGCAAGATGTTATGAAGAATCACACTAATCAAGTGCTCCCCAGGGGGGCTAGGTAAAAATTTCAAAAACTTCTCATCGTGTATTTTCATGAGATGAAATGATTCTTGGTAAAATTGAGTAGATTTGACTTTTAAAAATACCCAGTCCGCAAGATTTTATGAAAAAACACACGAGTAAAGTGCTCCCCAGGGGGGTCAGTGAAAAAAATCAGAAACTTTTTATCGTGTAGTTCGATGAGCGGAATGCAGATGTGCAATAAAAACAACGATTTGTTTGCTAGAAACAACCAGTCCGCTGCATTTTATTCCAATCCGCAAATTATACATACCCATCATTCAGTTCGTGATTGAAAATGAAAATTCAAATTTATATTTAATGTCACAACCGAAAACGAATTAAAAACATACAAAACGGTATGAGCGAGTTCAAAATTTTATTATCATTTAGAAGTTTCGAAAATCTCAAAGACTAATTTGAAATGAAACGCTATGTTTATTACTGAAAATGCTTCAATTTATGAAGGAAGCATTCTTTTGTCATATTTTCAGCATATTTACGAAAGTTAATCTGGGCATAGATTAAACAAACCTCTATGATCTGGGACACTATATTATATCAAACTTTTCAGCTGAAGACGGAATATCCATCTTATTTAGTTCCGAAACAACTTATTTATATTCAATATACCCTCTAGAATCTAGCCCGAAGCTGTTACGGAGTAAAACTCTTATCTCATAAAGTCTTTTTCATCAAAATGTGTTTCTACCGTGGGTTAACCTATTTGCCATGTATGAAAGGGCCGAAATTGCCTATTTACATATATTACTTTTTCAATATTAGAGACCTAATCGCGAGGCAGCTGCTGTGATATTGATAGAATTATTGAATCATGATTGAATCTAGAAAAACAGTGACAATACAGGGTGTTCCTAAATGTTTTGTTAATTTATAGAATTTTTAGTTATTTTAAAACTGAACAATAATGAACTTATCTTCTACTAGTAGACCTCGCAAACCTTTGCTATATACATTATTTCAATAATATATTTTTTCAGTTCAATATTCATCAAGGCACTATTATTATTTTATTTTTTACTTCTTTTCAGTTTTGCTATCTATGAAAGCATGTTTCTTTAGTTTTTCAAACTACCATTTATTTCAACTTCTTTTTAGTTCACTTGAATTTCCCAATTTTGACGAAAGAATTATAATATCCGACTCGTAAAATGAAAATTTTGAATAGAATCGGTATATAATGACAAAACTCGTCCGGTATATTGGTTCCACCGTCTTGAATTTCCAAATCCCGCCCTTTCCAAATTTTGACGAAAAAATCATAATCTCCGACCCCGAGAACCACCAGGTATCATATTTGAATAAAATCGGATCCTAATTACAAAATCCGCCATTTTGGATCCGCCACCTTGAATTTGTTAATTTTCACGAAGGAATCATAATCTCCGATCACGAAAACTCCTAGGTACCAATTTTGAAAAGAATCGGATTATAATTACAAAACTCGTCCGCCATATTGGTTCCGCCATCTTGAATTTCCAAATTCCGCCCGAATTTTCAAATTCTGACGAAAGAATCATAATCTCCGACCCCGAAAACCCCCAAATACCAATTTTGAATAGAATCGGAGCATAATTACAAAACTCCGATATATTAGATCCGCCATCTTGAATTTCCTAATGGTACCGGGATAAAAAGTATCCTATAACCCTCTCCTGGTTCTAAGCTACCTCCCCACCAATTTTCAGCCAAATCGATCCAGTAGTTTCGAAGCCTATTCAATACATACAAACAATCAAATCAGTCCTCTTTATAATATTATTAGTATGGATAACTCACTCTCAGAAAAGAATAAAATATAACTTTATTACACTACTAGCTCTACAACACACCATTATGTATGCTATCTTCAACCTGCGAAAACATTTTTCTATAGCACTGGTTGAAAAAAAATTAACTCCTACCGGCCCGTATTATGTATGTTGTACCACTATTGGAATTTCGAAAACAGCATATGATAGGAAGGTGGTTAAACTAGACCAAAGTTGAATATTTTAGTATTTCCAAATCGGAAATATCAGGAGCAGTTTTTAGAATACAAGGACAAAACCGGAATGACCGGTTTTCTCGCCTTCATTTTTAGCAATATGAAAATTTGTTCAAGAAACAGTCTTCTTATACGAATTCTCGTTCTTCCGTGCCACCTTCTCATCAACTCTATTTTTTTTTAAATACGGACCTGTATTTTTTCATCATACCAAATCCAGATATGTATCTTTCCTGATTTTTTTCTTCATTATTTCAATCGTCATGGTACGAATAACGAAAAAAACATGTTGGTTTTCCTGGTATATTTTGAAAACGGTTGGTGATATTTTCACGCCTTGAGATATAAATAAAAAGTGAAAGTCGAATATAATAAAATGGAAACTATATTAAATTCAAATTTATACAACATAGTAATAAACATAAATAAAAAACACTCTATACAAAACTAGCATCAGTCAATGATTGCCAAATAGCTTAGCCTTAGCACCGAGTCTCTCAGGTTTCTTTTTCACTGCAGGACTCAAATTATCAGATAACCTCAACTTCTTGATAGCCCTCGGGGTATCATCCGTGGTTTTCCGTTTTTTAACCTGGAAAACGACATATATGAAACCTCACAAGTGTGAAAATTCCTGGAAATGTTACTTCGATTTCTGTTGTCTTCATTACTGAAACAGTTTGAAACAAGAAATTCCTCGAATTTTTGGCCGTGGCAGTTCCCAAAGCGATGTTGGTTGTTTGTTTGTTGTATTCGGCTAGCCTCTGCAATACCTGATCGTTCCTGGAGAGGAAAGATCCTCTTTTATTCTAGAAAACAAGGAGACATTCATATTTTCCCTATAATGGTAAAAACAATATTTTCGTGAAACGTTATTACCTGTGTTATCCAAGTCTTGGCCATTTTATTTTGATTTTCACATCTTAATTACAGTAACAAAATGATAAATGTACATGAATAAAAGAGCATAATGAGAAAAATCTGAAAAAAACCGGGTGTTCCTGAATACAAGTAAGGAAAACCAAGGGAAAATTCCATGTTACTAAGGAAAATAATTCTCGTATATTAACATATGGTCCGAAAGTTTTAGGAAAAAAATCAGATGCTGACAACTCTTAGAAATAATTTTTTATAATCTTAACAAATAATCTTACAATATCTCTTAACTATTCTTATCACTACCTAAAGATCAAATAATCGACAGGGGACCGTTGTCTTCGATCTGCCTGAGTTTTTCTCTGACGCGTTCCATCATCCTTTGGACGACCCCAGCGTTGATTTCTCTGATTTTTCCCGATATACGACGTCGGAGTTGTTCTTGACTTTGTGCTTCCCATCTGTTATTGTAGACTTTCCGGCTCAATATTGCCCAGAAGTCTTCAATTGGGCGTGCCTGAGGTAGGTTGGGGGGATTGTCCACTTTTGGTACTAAGTTGAAGTTGTTGGCCCCATGCCAATCCCTTGAGATTCTCGCATAATGGCATGAAGCAAGATCTGACCAAAACATAATTCGTCATTCGGATGATTTGTATTCAAAAACTGAAGCAATTTAGACATCTGTCAATATATCGCTCTGCATTTAAGGCCTCACCACGAACAACGCTAATGTAGGGCTGTGAAATGAAAGTAGCCTCAGAAATGGCACACCATACCAAAATTTTGTCCTCAAACTTCTTTTTGCTCTTGAATCTCACATCGTCAGGAACATTTGCGTGATCGCCCGTGTACAAACCATCGTTGACCTTCATCTCAGAGTTGGCCAAAGTGAAATATTCATCACGATCAACTTGTTGGCAAACTGCACTCGCCTCAACGCGCAGCAACATCTTGGATTTCTTTCTAACTGAGCCTCTGTGTATTTTGGAGCTTTTCTCCTTTTCCGGAACAAAACATTGTGTCTTGATAGGGTCTTTAACACCGTAGTCTGTCCAACATGAAATCTTCTGGCCAGTTTTCGCTGTGAGATCCCAATTCTGTGTTTAGCTGTTTGAACAAGTCTCCGCTCTCATAATTGGTTCAAAACCCGCGGCCGACCGTTTTTTGGCAAGTTCATACATGGTATCCCTTCTTCACAATCTTTAATTGTACGATATATTGTCGATTTACTTATGTTCTGATCTTGAAAAATATCGACAATCTCTCGTTTCGTCATTCGCCCAACGAGATTATAAATACCTTGACGAAGATCAATTTTATAAGACATTTTGGTAAGCGCAAACCAACAACTTTTGCATTGCTTATTTAGATGACAAGACGGGTGACATTTAATTACCACGCCTGCTTGATTGAATGCATTTTGTCACTCAATCAAACCAGGTGAATTTTTTACCCAAAACTTTCGGACCATACGTTATGTACGAAGGTTTTCGAGATACAAGGTGTTAAATTTGTGTGCACTAAAATCAACAACTAGTAGGTTTTTCCAATGTTATGTATTTTTTTTAGATGAAACAATAAATAACAACTTTCTGGTTGATATTTTCAATACAGAAATTCAGACCAAATATACTCATGGAACATATCTTTCTGACGACTTCTAGTTAGTCTTTATGCCGGCGTCAATTAGTGAAATCCGTCATTCTCTGAAATGCCTAGTCATTTCACGTATTGTCGGCAAACAGCGTAACAGCGTAACTTCCATTTTCAGCCATTACTCTGTTTGCCGGAGGGTGGGGAAGGAAAATATCCTTTCTGCATATGCATAAGAAGGGAGTCTATTTTTCCGCCTAAATGAACCTTCTTCCTAGAAAGTATATTTTTCAGAAGATTACTTGAGAGAACAGAAGAGACTACTGCTTCTAAACAACCTAAGCTGACTCGGCCTAAATGAACCTTATTCCTTCCGTCATTACAGGGAATGCCTGAAACTATATTAGGCAAACGGTGTACGAAATTTAGAGTTACGCTGTTTGCCGGCAATACGTGAAATGACTAGGCATTCCAGAGTATGACGGATTTCACTGTTTGACGCCGACATATATGCTGCATTCAACTGGTCAGTACTGTCAGTATATCCACTGACTCTGCTGAAAATCCGATACATAAAATAAAAAATACAGTGCTGTAATAGGAGAGTGAACTATTTTTTTCTATTTCTTAAATAGAATCATCACTTGAATATCCTTCAATTTCTGTCAGTTGAATTCGGAAAATTGCCTAAGTTACCTATTGATAGAACTGATAAGTTACCAGAAATCTTAATATTCAATTATTTTTAATGATTTAACGAAAAATAGACTGGAACAGATGATTGGCATTTAATCAATATAGCATATTTTCAGAAAATGACAAACTTAACAGAAAAACCAGTAAGAGGTTTTCATGAAGAAATTTTATTGGAGTCTTGGACCGAACTACGCCATTGCTAGTCATAGCGTTTTATTAGCAACGACAAATATTTCCCAAAACAGAATATCTTCCGGCTGAAAAAACTGAAAACTGAGAAAAATAACTCACCGTTAAACTAAAAGCACTCTTGATATCCGGGCTGCCAAGTGTCCCTACTGTTTTCTCTACAGAAACGTTACTCTGCGAACTACTCTGAGACCTCCCCATCACTTTATGCCCGATCTTCAAAAACTGGCTCTCTTCCAACACATCCTCATCGTCGTCCTCAACTTCCGCCACCGCCTGCGACTTCAACTGTTTCTCCTTCAAGAACATCTCCCTCTCGAATCGTTTCCTCCGCCACTGTTCTTCGCTCTCGTCTTCGTCGAGGTACGCGTCGTCTTCTTCTTTCTTGCTTTCTTCGTCGTCGTTGTCGTTCATAGAATCGAGGTTCTTCCATTTGAATTGCCTCTGTCTGCCAGAGCCGTGTAGTTCGCCATCTTCTAATAAGAGTTCTTGCAGTAATTTCACCTACAATGATTCGTTTCGGCTTAAAGAACAACAAATAAATTACAAAATGAACTTTATGTGCCTTTGGTGGCCACATGTAGAAAAAGTATGCAATAAACTAAACACAAACATTTTTGTTCTAAGAAATCTTTTCCAGTGTGTATATAGAATGGTTGTCAGACAGTGCTATTTTTCTCTCTGTCATAGCCACAATCCCTAGAATGCCTGGGTGCAGACAACAGAGTTACTTTGCTGTGGGTGCCTGGACACCAGGGAGTGGAGGGCAACGAGAAAGCCAACATCCTCGCCAAACAGCGAACCGAATCTATGTTCATAGGACCAGAACCATACTTTGAGATCACCGCAAGTGCGGCCAAAACAACTATCTCAGACTGGACGGAGGGGAAAAAAACTCACGTACTGGTCTGAATCACCAGGATTAACCCATTCGTTTCTGCCTAAACCATCGAAAAATATAACCAGGCAGATCCTAGAATGGAGCAGGGGTGACCGGCGAATTCTGACAGGACTGCTTACGGGACACTGTCGTCTAAGATACCACCTGGGAAGAATGGGTCTGAACCAACAAACGGACTGTAGGTTCTGCTGTGTGAAAGACGAAACGGCTGAACACATATAATGTTCATGAGACTGAGGTTTTGACATATCTGGCTTTAACAATTCAGATTTTGTAAAAAGATGTGGATTGTACAGTGTACTGTTACCTCTAGGGGTGAGCCACAAAATAACCATCTGGGGCCGCAGTGGAAGGGAGGTATTCGTCCCACTCTCATGGAACCTAACCTCCACATTTCTTATGTGATAATGGTCTGGGGACATGCTGCTGTTGAGGTTTTCAAACATCAACAACGGGTAGTTAGAGTTGTTGCAGGATTACCTTATCATGATGACTGTAGGCAAGCATTTAGAGATCTAGACATTTTGCCATACCCATGTGTTTTCATTCTTGAATGTCTAAGCTATGTTGAAAAAAAACCTTCAACTACAAAAGACTCATCAGGATAACCATGAACATGATACAAGAAACAAAAAAAAATTTGAAACCCAAATATAGACTAGAAACGTGTCAAGATGACCCTAGGTGCCTTGCTGTATGTTAATTTAATGTTTTACCTGATAAATTTAAACAAATGAAAGGTTGAAAGTTCATAGGAAATCTCAAGAAGTTGTTACTGAAAAAAGCAATTTAT